TTTTCTAAATTTAAGATAAATATTTTTATATTGTGACATAAAATTATTTTTTTCTATTAATAAATTATTTTAAATATTAAATTTTAATTCATAAATAAATATAAAATTGAATTATATAAAAAATTAAGAGGATTTCTAAAACTATTGCCATCAGAAAATAGTTTCTAAAAACACTCTTATAAGGTGTAAAAAAAAGTACTTTCATATATACATATTCTTGTGTGAATTAATAATTCGTGTTTAATATATAAAGATTAATAATTAAATTATAAATATTTTTATATTAATAATTTATATATCCATCTTTTAGTTTGTTATATTATTGATGAAATAGTTTTCTTAAATAATATTTTTATATTTTATTTATACAAGTATTTTAGTATGTGCATTTTATATATTTATTATATATAACTAAAATTTATAATAAATTATAAATATAAATTATATGTATATAAATATATGTTATTTAAAATTTATATAAATATGTATTTTTTTTGTGAGATATAAATATGTATTTTTAAATATATAAATTATATTTTACATTTAAAATAAATAATTTATATTATATTACAAAAAAAATCTTATCTATTAATAATTTATTTAAAAATATGAAAATTTAATTTATAAATAAATGTTTAATTAAATTAAATAAAAAATTAAGAGAACTTTTAAAAATTCTCTCAGTCAAAGAATAATTTTTAAAAATATTTTCATATAAATTTATAACCGTTAGCGTTTAATATATATTTTTTGAGATATCAAGATTATATATACATCGTAAGGGTAGATGGGAGACAATTAATAAATTTTGATCATTTTATTCATTAATATAATGGAATAATAAGGTATTTTTTTTTATTAATGTTGTGTATAAATGTTTGGCTTTCATGAATAATAATATGTATAGATTTTATTCTTATTATGATAACTCAATTGTCTTTATTTTTTTTGAATGAATTTTATTTTTTCCTTGTTGAATCATATTTTTTTATAACTGTGAGATTCATGTCTTAAATACTTTATATCAAATTAAATCATTAATTATTAGTTAAAATAATTCTTGTTATTTTAATTAATTCTTAAATTTCTTCAATTAATATTATGTATAACGGAATTTTAATTATTATTAAACTAATATTATATTAATTAATTTAATTATAAATGTTTTTATACTTTCCTTGTCTTCAAAATATCATGTAAATAAAGGGTGAATCATTTAACTTAACATATTACATGAACAAAAATTAAGGGAAAAAAATGACTTGACACTCATTTGGACGGTTTAATTATAATTATATATAGACTATATTTAAAAAGGAGTGGGTTTTGTAGAATATCATTTTTTTTTTATTCCACAAGTACAAAAAATAAATGGAACCTTTCCACAAAGCCTATTTTTAAAACAAATTGTTTATGTTAGGATATGTTGGAAGTAGGTATGGATGATAATGAATAAAAGTTAAGCTTCGTAAAGAGAAATGGCTTTTTTTTTATTATTTAAAAAAAATGTTTTTTTATTCTTCTACTTTTGAAGTCAAACAATGGATTATAAGTTTTGCAATTAATTAATCTTGATTGAAAAAGTCGTTTTGTTTGCTAATCAGCCACAACTAAAGGACTCATTCACGTGGATAGAGTACAGTTGTAATATATATTATATTTTAATTATACCGAAAACAATAATAAACATAAACTTATCTATTTTAATTGTTAAACTAATGTCGAATTAAAAAAATATAATGTTAAGTAAAAACAAGCTATTTTTTTTTTAAATTTTCTTTTACGTTTTTTGTCGTATATTATTTCTATCCAATGGAATAAATAAAATATTACTATTATATTTTAATTATGTAACATTTTTAGTATATATAGAATATGTTTGTGTATCAAATTATGAGAGTGAAAATTTTAATATTTTTATACCTTTCTTTACATTCCTTATACAGATTTATATAGTTTCTATTTCTTCCCCTTGTGGTTTTAATTGATCTTTGTTGGGTTTTTTCCCTTTAATCTACCAAAAAAAAATTATGAGAGTGGGAGTTGTAGGTGAGAGAGTGAGAGAGGAAGAGGGGTCAATAGAATTGGAAGAGGTGATTTCGAGTGGAGGAAAAGGGAGGAAAAAACATTTTGGGCAGTGTTGTAAGTGGAAGGAGGGGGGAGAAGGATTAATCATAGGATGAGAGAAAGAGAGAGTAATGGTGACAAAATGAAGAAGTCAAGTAAAGGTCATACAATAAAATGATTAGAGATAATAAAATGAGTTACCCAACCTAATGTGGTTTGAGCCATCAAATTTTGGATTTAATTTGGACATCTAAAATGAAACTAAGTTCAACATTTTTAGGTTTTTGCAAGTTTTGAAGAACAAAGCTTAAATTAGGTCATAGTTGAATCATGTTAAAAGAGTTTAAATTTTATTTGAGTACAAATTTGAAGCTCAAAACCTATGTTTCATTGGTTGAGTTTGAGTCAACTTGATTGACCTAACTTATTTTATCATCTCTAATAGTTATACTTGTTTTTGATTGTATACATTAAACACTATTGTTTTACCCATCACCTTTAGTATAAAACCTTTCCCATTGTTATAAATCTCAAACTCAATGAGCCAATAACAAATTAAAAAGGGCAATATTTTTTTCTTAGTTTCTTCTTAATGATCATCCTAGTTGAGCAATTATGGTTTCTTTTGTTTTTTTTTTTATCTTTTATTTGTTCATTCTTTTATTATAAATTATAATACACAATCTTGAGAGCAAGACTTTCACTCTTTCCAC